CAGCTGAAGTGACTCCAGTGATGTGTCCACAGTCAACGAGTGTATCCGAGAAATTACTTGCATATCATTCATGTTTATTGTTTAATCAGAGATCGTGACTTGGCACAGTTACCACAAACAGGTGTAATGGAGCTGTATGACAGTTTAATGCGGCGCTGCAGAAACAGCATCAACAGCACACTTTGTGAGATGTGTCATTTTCATGGACTCATCTTGACCAGATCAATTGAGGAGTGTGGCAGTAAACAATGTTTACATTTAAAGCTTCTCATATTGCCTACACATTAAAAACACATGAAGGATAAAGGACGACGGCATCATTTCTGATTAATAGCAAATTTATAAAATCAAACCACGGAAACCTATCAAAAATAAAGCATGCAGAAAACACAATGACTAAATGGACAACACCTTTCCTGTCAGCAATACAATTTTACTAAATAATACATGCACTACAGTGTTATCATCATTAAAAATAACAAACAGGCTTCAGCAAAAACAGTTTTAATAAAATTACATCTAGTCTGATTTTCCGGGTCAATCAAAACAACCCAAAGATGCTGGGCTGCAGAAAACTTTACCATGGCAACAAAACCTCAGACAAACATCCAAAAAAAGGACAACATGCACACAGAGACCATCCTTACACAGATAAAGTACAACCCCGTCTGAAAATGTATTTTAATAAAGCTCATTATCCTGATCACCACCAACGCAAACACTTAATAATCAATATTTTTTGCACTCTTTGTTTAAATAGCAAAAAATATGCTTAATAATCTGACATTATCTCATCCCGCCAGACCTACACCCGAGCACACACCGCAGCTAAGACAATTAATCAAACTTTTTAATGCATGATGAAAACACAGCAATCCATATTCCTGTGCATTAACCTTCTTGATGCCCCTTACCACCCCTGAAAACTGGCACCTCTGTACGTCGGTTGTTTGTGTGCGTGTGTGTGCATATTTTGAGTGCTTGTCACTTGTTAGTGTAACAGTTCTTCTCATGCTATAAATAAACCGAGACAGAGGGAGGGATGGAAGCCAGTGGAGCGCTTTGACAGCAAAGGGTAAAGTAGCCTTGTCTCTGTGGGATACAGTGTGAGGATTAAACCTAGTTCACACACTCATATCCTACTATACAGCTTTAAAACAGCATTATAAATAACACTCATTTAATACGTAGATAAATAAGTGAACCCATAGAGGTCTCATGTACAATGAAGGCAAGAAAGCTCAAGAGAACACATGAAAAATAAGAAAAATTCTACCTTGACCCTCAGTATCCACGAGGAGACCACAGACCATCAGATGGTGCATCACATACAGAAGTCTGCCCCTCACACTACTATATGCAGGCATGACATCAGTGGAACCTGGGGCAGGGAGGGAGGGGGGCAAAAAAAATCAATGTTTATTGTTGTTATTATCAACCGTTTAATTTAGTAACTTCATGGTCTATTAAGGACCACAGAGTTCATTAAGACAGAGACGAAGCCTACTAAATGTTCAATATTCACTTTAAAATGCAAATATCAGCATTTTTATGAGAAAATAATAATAAATTGACTAACTTTGGATGACGTTTTAAAGTTAACTTACACATGTGCAGTGGCTCAACTTTTTTTTTTTTTTGGAAACTACTGCCATATCGATAAATGAACAATTACTGCCAGAAACAAAAGAGTCTATAACCTTTTTTTATGGAATTAACCAATATAAAAAAGTAAACGTTTTGGCATAGGGTTGGTATATAAACGACAGAACCTTACAGCTTTAATATCACTAACCCCGCTCTGGGCATTAAAACATAACCGTTATACGTTTGTTTATTTATTTGTTTGTTTGTATATGTTTTGAATAAATGACGCAAAGTTTTTTCTTTTTGTGTATAATTGACACAACATTGCAACGGACCTTCGAATGATTAAAACTGCACAAAAAACGAGCTTTTTACCTTTTTATCTACCTTTGCTCAATCCCAACCGGTAAATACGCAATTTCTGACATTTCCGACAGGACGCTGGTTTCCATTAACTGTTTTCTAAAAGACTTTGCTCAAACAAGCCGAGCAGGAACAGCTACCAAACATTAGGAGGTTGATCACGTGGTTGTCGTGGCCCTATCACCGTCAAGTTACCAAACGACTCGATAAGGTGCAAGTTATCTTATATTTATTATATAATATAATAAATATTTATTATATTATACGAGATTAGAAATGAAATTAACACGTTTGCATAGTGTATTTTGAAATTGAATTAAATAATTTACACACAAATTCCAAATCCCAAACCAAATACAAACAATTTGCTTGTTATCTGTTTGTTTTCTTTCTTTTTCTTTCTCTAACAACAGGTAAACTTAAGGGTTTTTTTTCCTTATCATTAGTAAATCATTTTGTATTCCTTCATTGATTTTTCTGTAATTGTAAATTGAAAATAAATCTTAGTTTTTTGCTTTAAATTCTAGACTCCTTAGAACTAATTCACCACATATTAAGTAATTAAATTACTTTAATTAAATAAATTACATTTACTTTATAGCTGTCATGCAAAACGTGTTTGCTGTGGTGTTAACACTAACCCTTACAAATGTAAAATGTAATTCAAAATAACGTTACTGTAAACACAACACAATTACTGATCTTAGCACACAGTATCTAGGTGTAGATGCCAACTCACACATACCTGTAAGTATCTCCTGAAATCCTGTTGTATATACTGTATTTCTATATCCATGAGCAAGTGAAGCATCCACTGCTGCAGGTGAGCCTTTCCTCTCCTCGCTTCCGCTGTTTCACCCACATCTGACTCGTCTCTCTTCCTTTTTAGCAGCCAAATGGCCCATCTGCAAAGACAGAGGGAGGGAATAAAAGTGGGGGATAAAAAAAAGAGAAAGAAAATCCATGTAAGGGAATGAGGAGATAAGGCAATAAGAGATAAAGTGCTTTGATAACAAAACAATTAAGAGCAACTTCCTTGGAAAGACAGTGTACACAAAGTGCATTTCTTAATGTTGAATGAATTGTTTTCTGTTGTTGTTCTTGATGTTTGCATTTCGTTTAGATACAGAGATGGGTGAGAGGGAAATTCATGTGTTTCTTACCTGGTGCTGGGTCCTAGTGTGGTGAGGGCACTGCAGTATTTTATCTGTTCCAAGGACTTTTGGACGGAGACCTTAGATGTTCTGCCTAGAATCTGTCAAAGCCGCTCCGTGTGTCTGTGAGTTACAGCCCCTCGTGCTTCCATCACCACAGGCAGTACTGGGCAACTCTGGGTGGGTGTCAGTTTGTGCTGCCAGATGTAAATAGAAGGCTGTATTTTTCTTGGGTCAGTGGATGTGATTGATGCCAGGGCCTGGTGCTGACCAGCTCTTTAATATCAGTCACTTGTGTCTCTGTCACTGCTTTTGAAAAGTTTACTGGTTCCTCTTCAGCAGAACTGCTGTCATCTGCTACTTGATCCACCAGCCAGTGGGTGTGGTTCTGTGTGACGTTCACTTCTGCATTTCTATCTAAGCTCTTTCAGAATGGTTTTATCTCTGAGTAGTTCTGTCTCAAGCCTTGCAAATGAGAGAACACTTTGGATTGTTTAGTGGAGAACATCCGTCCTATCATTCTTTCCCTGTGTATCTGTATCTCTAGTCCAGCACTTAAGGACAGTTCACTTTGTTGGATATGCTGCTCCTTATTCCTTCCTTCTTTATTCCGTATACCTTTCTATAATTGTTGCAGCTCTCCCTTCTTCTTCTCTCATCTGAAGTCGAGTTATTACTCATGGCTGTTTTTTAATTACTCTGCTACTGTATCTTCAATCTCAGGTCAGTTACCCAATGATGAGCAATTTATAAAGAGTTCCCCACTCAGTGTGGGAAGTTGATAGTATCTCCCCTCTGACCTGTGGTTCTAGGTCAGTTTGGCATATCCATCCATCCATCCATCCATCCATCCATCCATCCATCCATCCATCCATCCATCCTCTACCACTTATTCCATTTGCAGGGTCGTGGGTGTGTGAGGTCTGGAACAAAGTGCAGCTGTCAACAGGTCAATGTGAGAGTTGAAACAAACGACTCTTGATCCACTCGAGACCAGACCAGGGTTCAGGCCAGTGAACCAGTGATCTTGTTGTTGTAAAGGCAAGCGTTCCAACAACATTTGCCACTGTTGGCCTAATCAATCTTTATCTGTTAAAGCTGTGCCTCTAGAGGATGTTGAAACACTGAGCCAACAGTTGTTTCTTTGTGATTGTAGATGTTGGTCTTCGTAGCATTTAGGTATTTCTGTAAATGATTCTTCTCCGTAGGTTTAATTCCACACCTTACGCTGTGTTCTGTCCGTCTCACCAGAGAGTAATATTTTACAGAGAAATCAATTGTATAACACATTAGGATTTATCATTTATTTTGGCTTTTTTTCTCTTGGTCTGCAACACTGATAAAAACTACAATTACTCAAAAAAATAAATAAATAAAACGTGAGAGTAATTTTACTTAATTAACCTTTGCAGTACAATGTCAATATTTTATCATTGTCCATTGTCTATCCATTTAATGAAAGACCAGGGGAGAAGAACACCATACCCCCTTCCAGTCTGTCTACAGCAGACAGAGAGGATAATAAATGATTCAGCATCAGCAGTTCACCTTGTTATTCCCACATGAGCGTCTTCTGGAGGTTAATTAATGTTAGGTTTAAAACAATGGGACATCTGGCCACAGAAACACACTGAGTCAAGTAGAGGCGAAAAAAATGCTGAGTGGCTCTGTAAAAAAAAAAAGTTGGACTATTTACCTGTTAAAGACTTATTTTGGTGGTTTACTTGAGGCTACACCTGGACAATCATTACCTTTGATTTTTGAGATCATCCATTCAGAAAATCCACTGCCCCAAGGTTAGGGCGTAATTAGTGTGAGACAAAAGGGCATTCAACAACAACAACATATGTGTCCTGTCAACAGCGTTTGGTGTAAGTGACCACACAACAAAACAGACTTCATGAGGATCTTTATTTTTTAGATAACTATAAATTTACAACATAAAGGCATGTAAAACAAAAAAAAAACAAGTTGAATTCATTGGTGACGATCACGTTCCTCATATCGAGGGAAACACTGAGTGTAAAAGTTGCCACAAATAGTGCTGTGCTGTGTCTGTAACAGATGACTTTGCTGTTTCATCCTTCAGGACGCCACAATGGGGATGATGATGATGATGATGATGATGATGATGATGATGATGATGATGATGATGATGATGATGATGATGATGATGATGATGATGATGATGATGATGATGATGATGATGATTATGGCTCTGTATGAGACAGGTCTCGTCTCCTCAACAAACCAGGGATGATTAGGAATATTGTTGGGGCTGCAACCACAGCAATGGCAATGGCGAGCTAGAGAATAGAATAAAAATGTCAGCATCACATTGTAGCCTGTAATGACATATGGGTGTGATCAGCACAGTTCAGCTGTGCTTGTAGATGACCACTGAATATGCCTCAAAATGTTGAAGTGCTCAGGTACAGTAAATATTATAGAAATAAATCAAACTTTTTATAAGATCAAACTATGGCCTGTGGGCCAGATATGGCCCGCTGGGATTTCTAACCCAGCCCGCCAAACACTGGTGCCTTAATCTTTCGTGCACTTCTCACTTCATAGGTTCATCCTAGGTTTTCATCTACCTTGACCACTTCTATACCTTCAAGATTCACCTTTGGTTACACCTATAAAGATTAGTCCTACGGGCTGTGGACATCAGATGCGAGACAGAAAACGCGTGTTGATGAAAGCCAGCAAGATGCAAATGTGAAGACGCAAAAGGGAACAGTAGGGAGCGTGAAGTTGGAACCTGTGGTAAAACTGGAGGTATAAAAGGTAAAAGCTAACATGCTTTTATCATTATCTACACAATCTATTGGGGGAAATGTGGGTATTGCAGGGAAAAGGCGGAAGAATAATGATAATATATTAATGTAAATATAAAACATTTGGCACTGACCTTAATAGCAGCACTGTATTCTTTCTTGAATAACTGGAGATACACCTTAGAAAGGGCCAGGCTACAAGGCAGGTAGGCGTCCGTGTCATCTGAGTCTCTGCACCTTGTAAAAAAAAAACAGTATCTCACAGGTTCAGGGCGAAGGCCAAATGAAACACTTTTACATCAGATGCTCGGCACAAACACCATTCAACAAACCTTTTGTACAAAGCACTTAAGAGCAGAGTTTGGTCCGACAGGTAGAGCTGCGAAATACCCAGCTCTGTCAGTATCGACAGCGGCAGCTTGAAACCCTCCTCAGTGAGAAGGCCAAGGTTGTACCATCCCTGAAATAGAAGAGTAAACTGTTAGACGAACATGACTTGAAAGAAATGTTTGGCACTGCTTTAAAATCAATGATAAAAATAAATAAATAAATAAATAAACCTGTGGCTCCTTCCTCAGTGCAGCTGTTTTGTACATCTGTGCTGCTGACAACAGGTCCTTCTGTCCATCTTCCTGCCCCTCATAGTGCAGGTCACCCATTTTAATCAAGGCTGAAAAGAGCGATTGAGATGTTAATGAGATTTACAAATAAGTGTTTGTGCACTTACCTAAAAAAAATAAATAAATAAAAAAAACTGACCATATGTGTCTGGTGTTTGACTTTGAATATTGAGGTTGTAGTATTTCCTCATGCAGTATGCAGTAAACGCAGTATCCAGAAAATGTCCCTGGAGACATTAATGGACAGAAGTCACTTCTCAAAGTAACAGGAATATACAGCTGCAGACCGATGGAGGACGACCATCTCTGTGTCCGTGATCTACTTACTGGGTTTAGTTCACAGAGATAAGCCACGTTGAACTGTGCAACTGCAAACCCTGACTCAGCAGCCATCATGTAATATAAGAGTGAGCTGAACCTGTTGAAAAGTATAAAAAAATAATAATACAAATTTTCTGTTTGGGATCTGAAGAGGATGACTACAGGTGCAGCAGGTTTGGTTAGAAAAGACAATTACATGTCACCAGTGAGATATGAATCCAGGGCTTTCCTTAAGACAATCCCGAGATACCCGTTGTGCTCTGCTGCCCACTTGGCCCATCTGGAGATAAAGAGACATACAGGTTACAGACACGGCACGCAGCAATATCAACGTTACACGTGTTTGTGAGCGCAGGGTAAGGATGCAGTTCTATCTGTTGTATACTGCTACAGTAGTTGAAGAACTAACGGTGACCATGACGTAGTACAGTGGTCATCAACTGACGGCTTACGGACCAAATCTGGCCCTCCAGACTGTCCAATCCAGCCCGCAACTGGATTCCAAAATTCTGAGGATCAAAGGTCTGGGCCCCAAGGTGTCCTTCCAGAAAAATTCTGGCCTTCCGCTTTTTCACTTGACCTCGTACACATGCTGGTCAAAGGTCACGGGGTCAAAGCCTAGGAGAGTCCATCGAGTCTGTTCTTTTTTGACGAATTTAACTAGCTTCATAATAAAAGGTATAGTAAATAATGTCAAACTTCGAGGGCTTCAAAGTGACTTTTGTTATGTGTGTTGTCGTTGTGCTCGGCGCCTACTTATTTAAAAAGTGTGTCACTTACAGAACAGCCTCCGACGGTCGCCTGTCGACGGAGCCAGGCAATCCAGTTATCAAGAACTCTGAGAGGAGAACCGTTCCTCTGATGTGCCCTCTCTCTGCTGACTTCAGATAGTACTTATAGGCCATGTGCTGTAGGAACATGAAAGGGTTTTTTTTGGCTGGAACTAAAAACATTTTAAGGCCAGTGTCTTATCACATCAACTGTGCATTTTTAACAGATCAAATCAACACACCTGGTCTGCTGGTTTTCCTGGATAACGACCCTGCGCGTATAAAACACCCAGATTAAACGCGGCGTCGTGGCTGTTGAGGAGATCGGCCTGTTCCCACAGCTCCACTGCTGTGACGTAGTCCTTCTGATAGTGCTCGTGGTACCAGGCCAGGGCATTCATCGCAGGAATGAAACCCTGTTTAAAAACCAAACATTACCATATCAAGTGATTTAATATATGTATATAAACTGATGACACCAACTGTATGTTTTTGACAATCTTTACAAAACTATACACAACCTTGTCCATAGCCTTTTTGAGGAAAAATACAGCTTTTTCGACGTCCTTTTCAATCCCTAGTCCCTGCAAAGAAAGGAGTTTTTTTTTATATTATATGACATAAGATGATGTAGGATCTAAGAGACTAAGTTACAATTTAAATTCATATTTTAAAATTTAGTTTCATTTGGTTTTCAAGTAACAATACAGTCATATAAAGTTAACTGTTTCCAGAATACCATTCAGATCAGATTGTAAATCACAGGGTTTTACTTTGTCTGTGCAGTAATTCTGCCCATTTACAATCGACCCACACATCTGACCTGCAGCAGGACTATGGCGTAGTCATACATTGACTGAGGGTCCTCCCATCGGATCGCTCCTCTTTGATAATGTCTCACAGCCTTCTCTAAGTCGGGGGCCACTCCCTGCTGACCCCAGAACAGCATGCGACCGATGGCTTGCTGCGGGAAAAAAAATTAAATATTAACCTCACATTTTGGTAACATTAGTAACATACAGTTTAAGTCAATATAAGAACTTTCTGGAACACATGTAAACTGGTGAGACTTCAGAGTTCAATAATATTTTTTTCCTTTTCCATGACGACAACATCTGCTGGTGGTGCAAAAAGGCAACCTCCTACTGAATATTATACACATTATTGTCATCCGTATATGAAAAGACTAACTCTATAACCGCAAGATTTTTATTTATTTTTTTGGCAAGTTTTCCTATGACCACACAGAATCATTTCCCCCTAATCAGACATGTGGTCATTTTCTGTGGCTAAATGCTTTTTGTTTTTACCTCAGCTTCAGTGGTTCCCCTGCGAGCCTGCAGCTTTAGCCACTGGAATAAGTGATGGTTTTCATGTGTCTGTTGCTTCAACACCTCTTCATTGTTTAAATAAATAGCCTCAACGTACGTCTGCAAGACAAACAATTGAGGAGGGAAAATATGCTGTTAACAGAAGTTACTGGATTTCATTCTCAGATTTGTATGTGTGTGTGTTGAGAATTTTCAAATGAACATCTTACTCTAACTCTAAGTGACCGACAGGAAATACTAAAGCTACCAGGGTAAATTTTCTCTGTCTAACCTGGCGGAGCTGCCAGGTCTGTCTGTTTGTTACCTGTACTGTCTAACCTGCCAGGTCTGTCTGTTTGTTACCTGTTCTGATGAAGGTTTTTGGCGGTCCACAGTTGTCTGTTTTCCAATGTTTGCATAATATCCATAGGCCAGGTCTACATTTTGAACTTGACCATAGAGCCCCCGGTGGTGCAGAAAGCCAAGACGCAGAAGAGCTAATCGTTCATCTTTCTGGGCTGCCAGCAGGGCAAGAAGCCACGCCTGCGCCAAGAATGACAAACCCGCAGATTAATGTTAGGTTCAAAGGTCACGGTGTGGTCACACTTTTACAACGTCAGGAGCGTGGACCTTTTTAGGTTGTTCCCTGACTCCAAAGCCTGCGCTGAGGATCACAGAAGACAAGTGCAGAGCTCTGTTATCACCGAGGCAGCCGGACTGCAGCAGCAGCGGTAGTGCCCTGCTGACCGCTCTGATGCTGCCCTCTCTGGCCAGTTTACGAAGTGACAGGGTGTAAAGTGCTCTGCCCACTGCTGTCAAGCTAACGTTCTGTCCCCCTGCAAAACAAGTTGACGTGATGACTGTTTGGAGTAGTTAAGAAATAAAGTGGCATTTAAAAAAAAAAAAGATAAAATACCCGAAAGGTCAATACAAATTAAATATTCCTGTCCTATAACAGGAGAATGATTTGCGGTAAAACATGAGAATGAAAATGTCTTTTGCTTTTTGGTCGCCTCGAATTCTAATTCTTCCTAGCTTCTGATTGCTAACAGAATAAAGGTACAAGGTAAAAGGTATATAAAAAGGCGAAATTCAGATAAATATGTCCATATACACAACATTATTATTCTGTAATCTAGTACTACTACAGTACAGTGATATAGTAGCATTTAAAGCATGTATTAAAAAAGAAAAGTAAAATCCTCAAAACTGTTGATTTTTTTTTGTTCAAACTTCACAGTAATTTTATTAACTTTTTTATTAATACTTCACTGTTTGATTTTATTTTAATTTTTACAGTTAGGTTTAAGTTGTTCAATTTAGTAAAAAACAAACAAACAAAAAAAAACTTTTACCACGTTTTGTTGCAATTTGCTGGACTAGCTTTGCAGCTTGTCTTCTGTGAGGTGCACTGGTCTCCCACTGCTGACACTGTGACCTCGACGCTCCTCTGTCCTTTTTCAACCACTCATAAAAAGCGCTGTGACAGCTCTCTATGATAAAACAACAACATTCAAGGTGAGATCCTGAGAGACTTATCCAGCTACAGAATTTGTAGCACCACCCAGTGGTTACAGAAGGCTATTACTACCAGGCTGTTTCATCATGTGAGAGTAACCATTGATCTTCATGGTTAACTCCATGCGAAATGCATCACACGTCTGCAGCCATCCAGTGAGGTTCACGTCCTTGATAACATCTGGAACAACATGCTGAGGAGAACAGTTGTTATAGTCAGACGGTGCCGAGTCAAATGGTTGATGTTGTTGTTGTTGTTTTAACAGCTGTTGAGTGTTACCTCTCTGTGGGGTGGGATTCTGTTGCGGTGGTAAACCACAGGTCCAAAAAATCCTTTAGCACCTTTCACAAAGTTCCCACCTCCAATCACGAAATATCCCTCCGTGTCATTCAGCCTCAGCGTGTGACGCAGCCTGTCAGACATGTTGGTCGACATACCAAACATTTCTATTTTCATTTGATTTGATGACATACATTTAGTCAAGATTCAAAAGTAGGTAGTTCAGGATGTAGAACTACTGTACTTTAAGCTGCTTAATAAATACACGGTAAATTGTCATCCAAAAACTCTTTTTCACTCCTGTCTTATGCTATTGAACACTATTTTTATGACGTGTAGAGATACTTTTTTTTTATTTTTAACCATAATTATTAATATAATATATAACAATTATATAATATATTATAATATGATAATATAATTATTAATATAATTAAAAAATATGGTTAATAATAATAATAATGATTTCAATGGTCTTTTATTTTCTCAATAAAATATAAAGGTTGTTACTTGACTAAAATTACTCACACAAACTCAGTAGACTGAAGTGATTTCTGTTCTCCTTTGATGCATGCCATGGAGACAGTGACCTGGGACACAAAAATAAAAATTATGTTATTAATCATTACTGTTGTCTTTGTAGAGGTCTGGGTTTAAATGTCCTCAAAAATAGTCAATATGCCGTTAGAAAACACACAAACAGCAAAAGCTTAAAAAACAACAGCTAACAGATAAACCACGAAGGTCTTTGGAAATAAGTCAAAAAGATGTGAACATGTTAACATAAAAAACAAAACAAAAAATAATCAAAAATATCTAATATCAAAAACAAGCTAACTGTTAGCACAACATCAAAGACATAGCCATAGTCAACCAGAAATAATTCCCAAAACCCCAGCTGACCCCATGACCCTGAGGGATAGATAGGGGCTAAATGGAAGGCTGGAGAAAAGGACGAGTGGATTCTTATTTTAAATCTCCCAAAACCGAAGCCTCTGCTAAAACAAATGTCTTACCCTGGCTCATACTCACTGTTCTGCCTTGCAGCACCACACTGAGCTCACACCACTCACTCAAAGGCACTTGGTAGGTGGTGAGAAAGGCGGAGGATTCTCCCGTCTGTCCATTCACCTGGACATGGAGGTGACCTGTGTTCACAGTACAGTAGAACAGAGTCCCGTTGACATGGACCACGTACACGTTTAAGAATATGTAAAAAGGACAGTTGTGTGTGGACCTGTGGATGTGAGGAGCACAGTCGGGGTGGCGTAGTTATTATGGGGGTCTATGTGATAGAAGACTCCACACATGTTCTGGCAATAACTGGTCACAAACATCCAGATGGAGAAAAAACACCTGATGGAAAGACAAGTGTAGAATAAAAAGAAAAATGTCTGCATGACAAAATAATTGCATGACTTTTTTTTAATTTCCATTTTTTTTTTGTTTTTTACCAAGAATAAGAAATAGCCTTCACACGCAAATGCTCCAGGACCTCGCTGCCATACGGCCTGAGTGTCTCCGTGATGCCAAAGGTTTCACCAGTTGAAGCGTATATGGACGACAGGAAGTGAACTGTTTCTGTGTGACACAGAAATGTCGTTGGAATTAATGACAAGTACCATAATTTTTCCGGAATATAAGTCGCTCCAGAGTAAAAGTCGCACCAGCCAGCCAGCTAGAGAGCCATCTAGTGGCTGTCAGTGTGAAAATAACGTGTGTGAAATCAGCTAAAGGATGAAAAAGTGTGACTTTTGGGTATACACTCAGCTAAAAGATGAAAAAGTGTGACTTTTGGGTATACGTCTTTAAGTACACAGTGGAAAAGAAACAAGGGTTAAATGTTTCTTTTCTGAGACACTCGTGACCTAGAGGTTCAAAGACTGTGGCTGTGTCTTGACCAATCACCACCTGTTTTACAGATGGGTAAAATGCAAAGGACAAATGTCATCGGGTTCATTAAGACCAAATAAGGCTTCTGAATTTTCACATGTCGGCGAAAGACATTTTGAAGATAAATCATTTCAGTTGATACCTTCCTCCCAGGGACACTGTGTCCTTAAAAACCCGGGAGTTAGCCGCAGCATCTGTGTGCTCCAAGGAAAGCAGAGTTTGTGTTGTTTGACGGGTCGGTCAAAAAAAGTTCTGGGCTGCAAAAGCGCCACGTCCCGAGACACAGGAGAAGGCCCAGTGCCCCCATGTCTCCTGTAACTGAGGGAGGCTTGGAGGATGGTAGTCAGCACCCACTGTGAGTCTGGGACGATCCCATCAGCCTGGTACACCAGCCAGTCAGGCAGTCTCAGGGTTACTGTCCTGATTCTAGGCTCCCCGGGGACACAGTCCCACTGTCTCAGTGGGACAGAGGAAACTATTCCAGTGTCAAAGGACACGACACAGTCCAGCTGCACTGCAGCAGGTTTATCACAAGAGTAAAACACTCTGAGACGATGGTCCGACACAGGCTCCTGTGGAGGGGTCAGCAGGGGCACCTGGTCCAAGCTCCACACCATCTGCACCTGACCACACACAA